AGCAGCAAAGGTATCAAATACCTCCGTTTCTAGCATTCCTGTCCTTAAAGCAATACAAGCATAAAATCTCCAAATTTCTCCTTTTGCAGTCCCAGCGCAGTGGTGGGAAACAGGGCAGAGCAAACTATGGATTTGCCTTTTCTCTGTTCCGCAGTAAACCCCTCCTCATGTTAAACCGGCTCCCACAACCCCTCTTCCCGCAGCACGTGAGAACGGGTCTAGCAGCCGGCCCGTTGCTCGCAGGGCTCCACAGTGACCAGCAAACCTGGGCGCGTTTTGTGGCTAGCACAAGGACTGTGCAAGAGGGGCTCTCCCGCTCCAGAAATCTTCCTGGCTTCTGCACTGCTTTCCCAGCAAACATCCCTTTTCTCCCCAGGTTTCTTCAAATGCCAGAGAGGCTTTTTTTAGATTCGCCCCACAAAACATGATTGGCTTTAAATACATTTTACAAGCTATCACAGGAACCCAGTAACTTCCTAGGTTTGAAAAATATTTGAACTAGTTTTCGTGGCTTCTAGCAGAGGCTGCTAAGCAGAGGACAGGACCTCCACAGGCATATCTGGAATTAGGAATGTTTCCTGCATTTCCAGATTTTCAATATAAATGCTGAAAATCAACAGGAAGTTTTGAAAAATGGAGCCTTTGCTGCCTCAAAAAAACTCTTTCCATCTGTTGCAAGTGGACAGTTTCCAAACCCCAAGGGCACTGGAGAAGCCGAGAGCTTGGTGATCCCTGGAGGGGAAATGCTGGAGCAGGGCAGGACGCACTACGCAAGGCTTCCAAAAACACCCATGTAATCAGATTACCAATCTAGTGAGTCAGGATGCCACAAGGCTGCCTATGAGCCCACTATCCCCAGTGCAACTTGAGAGAGCCGCCGCTTCCAATGCTCCATCCCAACTGCTGCCCCTGCAACCAGGAGAGCCCAGCTGCACTGTTCACTCTGTAATGTGGCAGGTAGAGGGGACCAAGAGTTTAAATTACAAATATTTGTATTGTTCTAGGAGCATAAAGATTTGATATTAATATTTCACACTTTGATACCTGTACGTTGACAGAAGCTTTGAATTGCAGATGTTGCCGTTTCCTTCCTATTTTGAGGAAAGGTACGGTTCCAACATATACTGGGCTCTGCTACAGGGAGAGAGTTTCCATTCGCCCCTCCGCAGCCTCCCATTTTTGGCAGGGCATCTCTGCTTTCCTCAGGCACCAGCTTTTTGCTGAAGAATGTCCTGGACAGCTACTTCAGAGGGAGCTGGTTGCTCACTATTGTGGCACCTTGGCCACTGGCCAGCGAGGAGCTTTGAGCAATTCTGTTTGTGCCTCTTCTCTTGCTCCTGGTGGGAGAAGAGTAAGTGACTCCATTTGCTACAGCCGCTGAACTGTGCGGGCACATATTAGGTAGGAACGTTCTGTCCAGGACAGAAAGGCGGAATAAGGACCCTAACGGTGCACAAGCAGCCTTGAGGGAAATCCAAAGCAGGCAAAGGCGTGAAAAGATAAATGCTTGGAGGCTATGAAAAGTGAGCAGAAGATACAAGGGCAAGAACAGACAAGTAGCAGCAGGAGCTAAATATTTCCCACTAGATTACGAGCGGGGCAGAATGAGAGCATGTCTACAATGAGAGGTCAGCTCCCCGGGTCTGTGGGCAGAGGGAATCACTGTGGCTGGGGACCAAAGAATAGGTTTGGAGCCTTTTCAAGTTCTAAACTCAACATACTTAAAGGCTGCTTAGGCTGTCGCAGCCAGAGTCCTTAGCAACAGTCCACTCATTTCGCATGCCCTAGCCTGAAAGGATGAGGAGCTGTGAGGCTGGTGTGTGTGAGCAGAGTGCGAAGCCCATGGAAAGGGAAAACAAGAAAACACAGCAGTACATAGCAGGTACCCTGCTACGGAAAGGCAGGAGCTGTTCTACGTGCCTCGCCCATTAGGTGAGTTTGTGCCGTGCTTGGTGTGACGGTCATTGAATATTCTTCAGCAGCAAATGGAAGAAGCAGCAGTGATGATGACAAATGCACAGACGGGGCCCCGCACGGCCTCCCTTCCCCTTGCAGCAGGAGGAGGCTTGGCCAGGGAGCTAAAGGCGCAAAGCAGCTAAACTGCTCCTGCTGCCCAGAGAGGGGAGCTTTGCCTGGGAAGACACGGGTGTCCGTCTTGATTAGGATGTGATGCCTCATGTAAGTCATGTGACAAGCACAAACAAAATACCTTGGCAAAACCTTGAGGAACCAGGACAGCCTGAGCTGCTTAAGGAGATTTACTGCATGTATTTTTGTCCTGTGCACTTGCCTTGCTCTGAACCTTGCCTGTCTCCAGAGCTCCAGCACGCACCTTGGATTTTAAAAATGCTCTTTTCTGTTCATTCTCCAAATGATCTGTAGACCTTCTCAGATTTGTTAAGTTTAACAGTTAAGCTTCAGTGGCTTTACACCATCACAGTACCCAAATGCTATAAAGTTGTCTTCTGGGAGGTGCTTTTGGGATTTGCGGAGCAAAGGTCCCGTCATCTTAGATTATAAAATAATCTTGAAGAAACAGGAGAGCTAAAGGCCAGTGCGAGTGTGCCAGCAGTTAGGAAGTCGCCTATGTTCTGAAAGAGGGGTATGAAAAAACAGCTTGTGCTCTCTCAGCTCCTGTTTGTGTGTTGGGCCAGAAGTTCCCTGTTTGCTGCTGTCAACGCCTGCTCCTGATAGAGCTGCTGGCACCCAGATGCGGAGCCTCCACCAAGCATCTCAGCTTGGAGTTGGTCCTCCTCCTCCTGAGCTCTCCTTTCCCGTTCTTCTCCTGTTCCCTTAGACTCAGCTACCTTCACGGTGGATTTTAGAGGTCTTTGTCATGGTGCTGACTTCAGCCCCGGATGAATAATTCACACGTGCGTCAGAGCTGCAGGAGACACACGGATCAACGGTGTCGCTGCCCAGCGCCTGCAGCGTCACTGGGCTCTGCCCGAGGAAGCTGTTCCTGGGGGGCAGCTGCTGAGCCCCCCAACGCTGTTTCCTTGCTGTCTTTCACCAGGCCTTGGGATTTTACTTTACAACCCACAAACTGCTTTTGTCTAAGATGTCTCGCAGCCATGAGGCTGGCAAGTGCTCTCAAACCTGACCCAGACCTCCCCCTGATATCCCTATTTATCCAGCCTGCTCCCAGATCTTTTCTCCAGTCCGGGTGCCTTGATGCAGCCCAGCCCACGCTGCACCATTCCTTGCCCGGATGTATCCCTGTGGACCGCAGCCTATTTCACTTCTAGCTCCTTCTCTAGCTTTTTTCTATGTCTTCCACGCTCTGCAACGCCCCTTCCCATTAGAAAGGCTCTCAGTTTCACCTCCGTTATGCCAAACTCTCACTGCCCTTTTGCCTAACAAGATGAAGAATTTGCAGAAACTGAAGATCAAAAGCAAGAACAAGAGGTCACCTCTGCAATAAGCAAAGAAATATAACCTCATCACCAAAGAGATGGTCGCCTAATTTATTTTTAAAAATCTGCATGGATGGGAATTTCTCAGTCTTCCTGGCTAAGCTCATCCATCTTAAACTGTCCTCATAGTTCCCAAGTTTTTTTCTAATATCTAACTTTAATCTTCTTCTCGGCTCTGCAACCCGAGCCAATTCTCCTATCCCTTCTGAGCCAATTGTCCTATCCCTTCTGAGCGCAAGGAATAGTTTAATCAATGCCCTCTTTAAAACAGTTTAGCACATGTGGTGGATTTCTGTTGCATCCTTACTCATCTTCTCTTCCCTCAGATGGTGGGGAAATGGGTCCCTCCGTATTGTCCCACTCGGAGCTCTGTTCTTCGTGGCAGAGGAAGGAAGAGCAGGAGGCGACGCTCCACTGCCCGTGTGGGGAAGAGGCTGCTGAGAGAAGCCCGATGGCTGGGAAAGGTGCCTTTCACACAGAGTGCTGGAATGAGGACCTGGGAGAGGTTAGGCAGGAGCAAGGAGAAAGCATGATACAGGCTGAGGAAAAGTCTTCAACAAATGGTGGTTAGGGACGTGGAGTTCAGCCCATCTTTGAGGAGAGAAGTCTCATTTTTCATGCAAGAGAAGCTTCATGGAGAAAGATGGAAGGGGAGCAAAGGTACCTCACATGCAGAGCTCTCTCCCTTTTTTGCAGAGGCTTTAGTCTCTTTTGCTGTTTTGTGGTAATCAGGGTGTTCTCCTTCTTCCCTCCTTTCTTACAGTTACCTCAGGTCTCTGTATTTACTCCCCAGACTCCAATTTCTTTGGCTCATCATTCTCCCACCCCTACCTATAGTCTGTGTTTCTTCTCCTGCCTTCTGTGCAGTCCTGATCCTGCCCTGTCCTATTTCAGACCCTGTGCTTAGGTGCTCTTCAATTTGTAGCCTATTTTCTAATCATAAATCTTGCTTAACGGGTTTCTTAGGTTAGCAAAGAAATCCCTGATGTGCTTTTGCAGCCATTCCTCTTTCATTATCACCAGTTGTGCCTCTTCCCCCAACTTGAGTCAACTCTAAATAATTCATTTTCTCTAGATATTATTACTACCCCCCTGCACACACACACACACACACGTCCCTGGAGGCCTGCAGCCCTTGGCTGCATTCAGCTGGGGTAAATGCTCTCCCTGTCTGTGCCTAACTCCTCGCTCAAGCCCGACCCTGCTGCACAGGGCAATGGCCAAGCACTTTCTGCCGCCGCAGATGCCGGTTGCTGCCCGGTGAACGGGCCAGCAGGGAGTTTTTACCCTCGGCCTCTCCAGAGGGTGAGAATCATTCCTGAAGCACGCGGGAGCATAACTGGAAGCCACTGCCACCACACTGGCATTGCCCCCAGGCTGCCTTGGAAGCTGCAGCTAATATCTTCCAGGTTTGCATGCTCGGTATCGCAACGCGATATTGCAGACGTTATTTGGGATTCCAACTCCGATTTGTTTATGAACTGGCCAAACTAAACGAAAAGCAAAACTCCTCGTAGTGCCCAATTGCCAAAAGCTTCTGGGTGAAGGAAGGTCTCCAAGACACCACCTCTCCCTGAGCCTTACTGAGGAGGGAGAGCAGGAGGAGGGCGCAGCCGCCCCGCTCCTCCCCGCACCTCCGCTCCTCGGAGCCTCCCTCCGGCATGAATGACTCCAGTGTCCGCCCGGCCCAGGCAGAGCTTTGCCAGTGCTGCTCCTCTGCAGGAAGTGGACATGATTTTGATAGTGTCACTCCACCACGCACAAGACGCTGAATAGCTGCAAGAAAACTGAGCAGTTTTGTTAATCTCACTGGTGGTTGGCAACCTCTCAGCAGCAGCCACAGAGGCACTACAGCTGTCTGTCTGCCCGTCCAGCAATACAATGCTGCATTATTTTATATTCAGCAGATCATCTTTCCAATCATAAGGCCTGGAATGTTTTATATGTTTACTTCTGCAGGAGGAAAGCTTCCCACTGTCACTAACCAACAGATTTTTTCAAGACCCGCTGTCCTGTGTGTTGCAAAGATAAATGCCTCGGTATTTACAAAGCGCTTTGGGGTGCTAAAGTGGAAACACAAAATCTCGCATGTATGTTTTGGAAAGGGCCTTGGAATAAATGGTGTCATTCCCAATGATGCAAGTTCAACCACATCCTCCATCCAGAGCCTCCTCAAGACTCACTTTTTTTCCTCTGAGGTTCACAAATGTTAACTCAAATTGGTCCTGCTCCTCCTTCTCCGATATAGTTTGGGTGTAGAAAAAGAGAATGAAACAACTAGCAAAATGCAAAAAAAAAGAGACACATGTCCACTTTGTCTCATAAATAGTAAGCATTTAACATGATAAAAATGCACTGGTAGCAAACCAGCGGGTGTTATCACTTAGTGTGTCCAACACCTCCCTCCCCGTTACCCTGGTGCTCAGCTCTGCTGCGCTGTCTCCGTGAGCGAAGGTGGAGCGAGGAAGCCCTGGTGAGCCGGGCCGTGCAGAGACAGCAGCCACAGCTCCCCAGCAGCCCCACCGCTGTCCAGACCTCGCAGAACGCATGAGGAAGGGGACCGAGATGGTGCCCCTGCTGCTCCTGCCACTGCTGGCAGTGGTGCCACCGCTGCAGGTCACTGTTTATGTTTCTCTTCTTCCCTAGCCCAGCTCCATCCCAGGACACCTCCACCCAAAGCGGTGATTTCAGCCCTCAGGAATGACCCCAGAGGAGCAGCTTGGGCTGGAGAAACACGACCTGGCCCAAAGCCAGCAGGAGCCGCAGCTAGGAGCCATCTCACCAGGTTCCTGGGGTGCTCCCAGATCTGCAGTTCTGCCTTGTCTGTTCAGCAGAGCCATGAGGCACAAGGTGACTTTAACCTGCAGCTGCAGCCACAGGAGCAGTCAGGATGAGAGCAGCAAGGAGACAGGCTCTGCCCAGCTGCTGCAAGGGCACCCAGCGCAGGGGGTGTTTCAGGGAACACATGGATAAGGTGTCACAAGGAAGGGGGAGAGGCCCAAGGTGGGCAGCAGTGCCTGGAGAGCTGCTTGCCACCTCTGCACAGGCAGCACAGGGTGCAGAGGGAGGCTGTGCCCAGGCACGAACACCCGTGGGGGCCCTCCCTGAGCACGGCACAGCCAGGGCAAAGGGGCCAAAACGCTCCTGTGAGGACAGACTCGCAGGTGACCACCAGCGTTTTGTTCGTCACCAGGCGCAGTGCCCAAACGGCGGCGCACGCAGCTCCGCTCCGAAGGCCTCGGCACATGGAGGACCTCGCACCAGAGCCAGGGCAGCCGCAACTTGGCCCGCGTTGCTCCCCTCGCTCGCGGGAGGCTGCAGGGCACCCGGGCTGGTCCCGGCAGCGCCCAGGCAGGAAGGAAGCTGCCCCGCCAG